CTAACATAAGCGGTGCAAGTTGCTCTCGCAGACTGGAGGTGCTCACCAGCCTTGTGCTCCATACCTCCACTGTTGACACAGGCAGAGAGAAGGAAGCCCAAGATGGCCAATGACAGCCTCTTAACACATTCATGACCCTCAGGGAAAACAGAGCAGAAGTTGAGGTAGAAGAAAATCTACCTAAAATGGGTTTAGTCAGTGCATGATTCTTATCTCTGGTGCGTGCAGAGCTTAAGAGCACAAAGCCTTTTCCTATATGCACATATGACCTACTCCTCATAACAACCTGAGAATGCTCAAGCAAGGATCATCCCCTCGTTTGGACACCTGATGAAACTGAGGCCCAGGAAAACCAAGAGGTCGGAAGAGCAGGGTTTTGAACTCCGACCTTTTCTCATCCAAGTTTGCTGCCTCTGGTGGTAAGGAAAAAATATCCATACCAAAGACAAGATATATAATTTTGAAATTGAAACACAATGGTAGGCCTCGTTTAGAGAGGTGGAGGAGGGTGCTGTGGTCCTGTCCCAGGGCTATTCACCTTGCATTAATATTCTTGCTCCTGCCCAAAGGCTCAAGCTAAACACTTTGGGATGTTAAAAAGAACAAATGCCTTGTGTCAATCCTCAGTCACTAGGCAGGATTCCCCTTTATCTCCAAAGGTATCTCCAGAGGGTCAGAGTGTGGGCTAGGGTTCAAAATCACTCACATCTGATAGTGGAACTCCCTTCTCCCGTGTGCTTCTTTGACTCAAGTGGAAGGTAATTCTAGAAATTTCTGACCCTGTGTCCTTGTCAGTAGTAATTTTAAAAGCTCCATTCTTGGCGGATCTGTGAGGGACTACTTCTGTCACAGCAGGCCTCCTGAAGGAAGCAGCTGGTAGAGTTCTCATCCTGCCTTTGGCTTTCTCCTTCAAGGAAAAAACTCCTTGAGAGCCGAGCATGTCTGCATCAGTCTGGCCTCACCCTTCTCCATGCCTGACTCTGGATGACTGGTGAGAAACAATGTTCTCTCTGTCAACTGTCATGACCAACTACCCATGTGGTACTCTTCACCTTGAGAAATTTCTTCACACGAGTCTGGCACTTGGCTGATTTTCCTTATTATTTAAGTTTGGAAGCACTTAGGGGTGTAATCTTGCTGTCAGTCAAAGCTAAGTTTTCTACCATCAGGAGAATTTTTTTCTAGCTCTGTGTGTGTTTTTGTTTCTTTCCCAAGTCCTTCATATCCTTGATGAGGACACAGGGTGCAATGTGGCCAGGAGGAACTCAGCTTTGGCTACTTGGAGTGTTAAGATGGGAAAGAGTTAAGGCAGGGTAAGCTCAGGCTATAGGCACTAGTTGTTAGAGCACAGCGGAAGGAGAGAGTGTCAAGAAGATCTTCCAAGTAGAAAGGCTATTTTCCAGGATCCAAGAGCAATGTGTGCCAACAATTGAATGACTAGCAGGGTGTGCCTCTGCTGTCCAGTATCCAGGAAAGAAGGCAGAACCAGGGTGCGAGCATCCTGGAGGATTCTGGAACCCCTTTTCTGGGGTCATTGTCTGAGGCTCAGGCTGAGACTTTGTGCAGGAAAAAAGGATGCGTCCCAGGGCGTTCTCATCTAAGGCTCACCAACTCCAGTCCATACTCTGGGCAGGTGTGGCCCTAATCCACATCTTAGTCCTGGTCTCCTGCTTTCTGCCTACTAGTTACCATTAATGGCTCCTCAACCCCTCAGACACCAGAGGTCCACATGCAGTTAGTTCTCTTAGTTCATTCACTCCCACACTCTTCCCTGCTTTGCTGTGTGTGCAATCTCTGCTCACAACGCCCTCCCACCCCGCCCCCACTCTCCGGGTGGGAACTTGCGGGTTATGGATGAGTTCTCCTTCTCTTTCTCCACACATAAAATTCCATTCGCTCACCTACCACCGTGTCTTTGATCTTTTCATTCCTGCTAGGGCTGCCCCAGTCAGACTGCCTTCACGTTTTTCATGGATCACTAGCAGCCTCCTAATTATCTCTTTCTCTCCAGTTTCTCTTTTCATTGGTCAGTCCTTTGTAGAGCTTCTTGAGCCACTTTTGTAAGTTCCAGCCCTGGTCATTTTATTTCTCTTCCTCAAAAACCACTGATGGTTCCCACTGCTGTTCTTTAGCCGGCCATTTGTAGCAAACACTGGTCTGCTCCTTGTGACCACGTCAGTGTCTCCTGTCTATAACTTTCCTCTCCCTTGCTTCTGGTTATGCTGTTCCATCCACCCAGAACTCTCCTCTCCTACATTTCTCTTTGTCAGCACCCTTTTCAAGGGCCTGGTCAAATTCTACATCCTTTGTAGAGAGTTCTGTGTGTATCCCATGAACAACTTAAAAAATGTCCTCTGCACCTCTGGGCATTAGGCACTGTACTAGGTGTTGGTGAGATACCCATGAACAACACACACACTGTTGGTGTTAGTCTTGCACAAGTAGACTTCACACAAATAAACACACATATAAATATAAATAATGAGTTGTTCTATGCATTTTGAAGAAAAAGAACTTGCTGCCCTGAGGCAGAATGATGCAAAAAAGAGGGAGTATTACTTAGCATCTGTGAAGTCAGGGAAGGCTTCTCTGGAAGTGATGTTAGGAAGATAAATAGAATGTAGGCAGAGAAGAGCAATGGAAAAATGGGTATGTGAGGGCCTTGCAGCAGGAATGAAAGAGCTTTGCCAATCCCTAAGGTCAGAATTGACTGCTGTCTCTCTTCTGTGTTCACAGAGCCCTTGGCACCTCGGAGACCACATGCATTGACACCTGCTCTGTGTTAGCGAGAACTACACAGTTTTCTGTCCTTCACAATAGACTGAGGATTCTGTCTGGGTAAGGACTGTGTGTTACTCATTTCATTCAACAATTCATTTATCCAACAAGTATCTCTGCACACTGACTGTGTAGGCATACCTAGTAGGTAGGTTCCAGAGTCAGAGATCAGTACCAGATATACAGTGATGAGCAAGGTATCCCATGCCTCTTACAGAGATCTCGTCTCTGCATCTCCAAGATTTGGCATTGTACCAATCACACAGTAGGGACTCAGGGAAAATGTGGAATCGGGTACCCAGGCATATGTGCTTGTGTGATAACAAGATGAGCTTGACTTTGCATCAAAACACTTTCTCCAAATGCCCCCAAGCAGTTTCTACTTCTCTAGGTCATTATGGAGACCAAGGCACCTCTAACCGAATATCCTGCGGAGACTAGAGGACACACCCAGCCATCCATTCCAGTCCCCTGGATGCTTGGGCACAAGCCATCCTCCTTTGAGAGCAGACTCTGCCAATTTTGAGTCGTTTGACCGTGTTCTAGTCTGAGCTAATTTTGTAAGTCAAATTGCTTAAGAGTGAATATGAAATCTTTGACTGAAGCCCAAATATATAAATACCCATCACATTTCCTTCCTCCCCAATTTTGCAATCATCCAAAAAAGCTGTTCATGTTGTCCAGCGTAATTAGTTATTTATACACCCTCATGTGGTCTATTGTTCAGAATTAAATTGTCTGGTATACAGAATTTCTCTTGCAAGGCTTGTTTTGCCATTTTACTGCTTTTTGGAAGCTGTTTGTAAATATGTCCTCGTGGAACCCTTCGGGAGACTTCTGAGCAGACCCAGGATTGGTGGGGGGAGTAGGGGTAGAATAAGCTAGTCTGTGTAAGCAAATCTGACCTCTGACGTCTCACACTGTCCCCTGACTTCAAACACAAAAGTTACCAAGAATTATTCATCCTTTCCTTGAAGACCCAGGGGAATTAGAATGAACACAAAAATAGCCACGGAGAGGTAGAAGTGGAAATCATCTTGGAGGTCTAGTCGTAGGTTCTAGTGACTCCGTTTTGCCCAAGAGGAAGCTAGTTCCCAGAAAGAAGAAGTGAAAGAGACAGGCCCACAGCCTCTTGCGGGTTAGTGGCAGGGCCATGCCCAAACCCTCATCAGCTGACTCCCATGCTCTTTCTACTAAACCATTAAGTATCCTAGTGCAGAGTGCTTTGTTTCTGGGCGTTCCTGGGCTTGTCACGCTTTGCACCTGAACTAGATGGCTCCAGACTGCTTGCTTTGGGCCCTTGAGTCTCTATTTTATAGCTATTTTTTCTCCTCCCAAATGGTTTGGCAGCCAGGTATTACGGATGAGGATTGCCCATTGTGAAGCAATTCTGCTTTCTCTTCTGCTGTGCTATGGTCAGAGACTCCAGATGATCTATCAATTTTATGTAAAATGAGACTTTTTTCTGAGTGAGGGTCTGAAGGTCTCTGCTTCATGGGAGACATCCATAAGGTTTATGACCCAGGATATGGTCTATCTTGGTGAATGTTCCATGTGCCCTTGAAAAGAATGTGAATTCTGCTCTTGTTGGGCAGAATATTCTGTAAGTGTCAATTAGATCCAGTGGTTGATGGTGGTGTTCTGCTCTTTATCCTTGCTGGGTTTCCATCCATGAATTTTAGTCTGTGAAATTTGTAATGTTAACTTTGATTATTCAGAAGCCTTTTAGATTTTCTTTCTGTATGAGAGTATAAGATCTTAATTCTTATTTTAAAATGGGACTTTCTATCCAGCCAGGTTAGGAGTTAAGAGTTGGGCATTTCTGGAATGGTTGGCCAGATAGTATGATGGGAAGAATCCTGAAATCTTCCTCCTAACACGCATATATGGATGTCAGTATGTAAATCTACCACAGTGGTCTTATATGAATTCTCACTGGAGTGAGACCTGTTGTACCTGAGAAATATCACATTGTGACTTTTAAATAGCTAACATCATAACACTAAAAATTCATTATCTTTCTATGTTATGACTCATAAAATCCCCAGATTTTCTGAAATGGTCACATGTTAATGTTACACACTTAATTTTAAAATATATTTATTTATGTTTTAAATTATTAAATATGTAATCATACAGAAAAGATGTAACAGAAGTCATGTACTCACCCTCAGAAAACAGATGCTGATCATTTTGCCATATTTATTTTTTTGTTCAAAGAAATTAAATGTAACGCACATAGTTAAAGCTCCCACCTTCTATTTCCTCTTCCTCCTGCCTTCTTTCCCTCCTATTTTCTAAGGAGGAAAACACTATTCTGAATTTGGTGGGTATCCTTCCCACGAATGTTTTGGTGCCTTCGCTCTAAGCAGATGTATCTAAAATTTATGGCCAGGAGAATTGCAGGGTTATTTATTTTTATAATCCGGGGAGAAAAAAAAGACTCATCTGTCATGTTCAGAAGGGCTAGGTCGATTTTAATCTCTATTCCTTTCAACTGGATTTTGCTTTAATCCTGGTTTTTATGTTCTTTTTCTGGTGATCTTCCTACCCAGCTTTATTCCTTCCTAGCTAAAGTCTCATTTGGCTTTTGCCAGAACTGGTAGCTTGGACTCCTGTGATTTGGACTTTCTGAAGCCATGGTTTCTCTGCCTTAGGCATTGCTCACTCTCAATCCCTGGACTGCGGCCCCTAGGTAGGAAAATCTGTCAGGCTCTGCACCTGGATATCCTGTTGCCTTATGTTCCCCTAGCCTATGAGTGGATGTAGCTACTGCTGCCAGACCTGAGCTGTCTGCTCAGCATTCCAGCACAGACAGGCAGATTTAGTTTCTATCCTGCCTTACCTGTTCTGCTTAAATCTTCCATGTCTGGAACACAACGCCTTGAAAGGACACATCAGGGGAAAGCTAAGGCTGGGAAGGTAGGGGCTGTTGAGTATGGTGATGATGACTGGAAATTGCTACCATTTTTTAAGCAATATCATAAAAATCGTGAGACCTGGGGCATAACAATATTCAGAATGCGATGTTCCAAATAAGAGTAGAGCACCTACTGCATGTCAAGTACTGAGCTAGGTTCTTTTTATCTCATTTATTCTTAAAAGTAATCCCATATTTTGTAGATGAGGAAGCTGCGGTATAGAGAAACAGGATGCTACAGTGGAAAATTATGGGATTTAGAATATGACAGACTGGGTTCAAACTCTGGGTCTACCACTTATACCATCTTGGACCAGTTTCTTAACTTTTCTGAGCTTGGCACAAAGTAGGTGCTTGCAGTGATGGCTATTGCTACGGTAAAAGGTCTGGCTTCTTGCCTCTGGTTACATAGCTAGTGTACAGTAGCTGTGAGATTCAAACCCAGGTCTGCTTCTCTCAAAGCTACCCTCTTCTCAGGGAGATGGGAAGGTTAGATGTTATAATATGAATGTTGCTCCCTTAGAGGGGGTGTCATGGAGTTTGGAAAGAGCACTAAACTTGAAATCAGAAGACTTGGGTCCTGTTCTCCATGACAAATGAGCTGGGAGACCTTGGACAATTCATTTCCTGTCTCTTTTTCCTTGATTTTCTAATTTATAACACAAAAGAGTTGTGTTATTTCAATTCCCTCTAGGTTCTGTTTGTTCCATGTCCAGCATTCTGTGCCTCTGATCAAGAAACACAGGAGCAAATGGTCTACCCAAGGGAGATGAAGAAAGGCAATGGCATTGCTATTTTAAAGAAGGTGAGGATAGGAGAGTAGGCAAAGCCTCTATCAGCTAGCTGCTTGTCCCAAATCCTTAACAACTGAAACCAGTTGGATTTCTTTTCTGCTCCCCAACTTGAGCTGGGAAGGGACCGAGGTCATGGAGGGTTTCAGAAGACAAGGCCAGTTGCCCACATTCATCGCTTTCTTGGGTAACTTCTTTTCTTCTCTCCCTCTTTCTTCCTTTCTTTCCTTTTTCCTTTTTTTAGAAGAAGAGAATGGAAAACAGAAGATGGCTAAGTAAGGTAACTAAATAAGAGATGGAGAGTTACAGGTGGAATTTTATTTCTACCCCAGGTTTCTTCTTTTACCTTTCTTCCCAATTCTTTCTGGTTTTATTTTCTAAAAATAGATATATTTGAAGGATCATGAAACAAGTTCTGCACTTGTGTTTAGTGAATTTTAAACTCTGTCACCCTGGGGCCACCTGTTTTGCTGAAGTTAAAGGTAGGAAAAACCTTCTTGGAGACCCCTTTGACCACTTCTAGGCCACTCTGGTGGTCTTTTTGGCTTTCGGATCAAGGAGGCACTCACTTGCTCAGTGAGTCTTTATTGAGCTGCTACTAAATGCAGTCAACCTGGCAGGCCCTAGGGACAAGGAAGAAAAGAAAAGACTCCCATTCCCATCTCTTCTTTAGCTTACATATCAATGTAAGTAAAGAGCAGAACACAAAGGTAAATATGCAATGATGGAAACTGAGAGGTGCTGGTGAAGGAGCTGTGGAAATCCCCAGTGTCTGCCACTCGGTTCTGGCTCTGGAGAAACGTCCCTGCCTTCTGTCTCCACTTCCACTATATGAGATTTGGCAGTCTGACCATGAATCACCATTCCGAGACCATCCTCAGCACATCTGCCCTCCATGTCGTCAGTGAGGATCACAGGGCCCCTGGGACTCCACTGCCTGGCCTCCTCGCTGACCTCCTGGGCCATGTTCTCGGAATGCTGGCATGGGTGTGGTTCTCCCACATGCCCTTTCCAGGTCTGCTTTGGAGTCTTCCCCCTTCTGATTGATACCCTTCACCAGGAAGCTCTCACCTCTGTCTCCACTTGTCCATATCCTACTCATTTTCCCAGGCTTTGTTCATCTTGCTGTAGTCACTCTAGAGTTCCTCTCCCCACCTCGGGGTCTCTGCCTCCCCTTCTCTGATGCCTCCTGGCATTTGGTTTATGAGCTAATCAGGGCACCCATCATGCTCTGCCCGGTGTTCTATAGTTATTTGTATATCCAGCCTAGGCCTTACCTACCTAGGCACACCTTGACAGCATAGAAACTATTGATCTCTGTATCTCAAACAGGACCAGGCACAGTTAATACACCCCAATTGAATCAACACCCCAACATTAAAGTTAATAATCAAACATGTCCTATATAGTTTTACAAAGAGTGTCCATCTACATTTATCTAAAATAATCCTCAGAACAACCCTGTGTAAAAGAAACTATCCTAATCCCATTCCACAGATGAGGAAATAAGTTATTTACTGAGTGCTGACCCTCTGCTAGGCATTATGCTAGGAACTTTGCACACATTATACCATTCAATTCTCATTTAATTAAAAAAAAAACAAACCCAGTAGTCATCTGTACTGAGCACTTACTCTGTGCCAGGCACTATTTTTAGCCCTCTATACCTATTAACTCATTTAATTCACACAACACTATAAGATAGGTATTCTTAGTATCCTCACCTTATACGTGAAAAAGTTGAAGCATGTGGAGGTTAAAAAACTTACCCAAGTCCCCATAGCTGAATTTGGATTCCAAACTTGGTAGTGACCATAGAGACCACCATTCACATATGAACATTCCCCTCCTTTCCTGAGACCACCATTCACATATGAACATTCCCCCCCTTTCCTGGCCCAGCACTGCCAATACCACTTAGTATTGCCTCTGTGAGGTATAATTATACCCATTTTGCAGATGAGAAAATGGAGACCTGGAGGGATTAATCAACTTGCCAATATCGCACGACTGATCAGGGCACAGCCTCATCTTGTACATGCAAAGTGCAGATTCTGACCACTCATCTGTGTTGTCAGATAGATGTGACAATGGCCAGCCTCAGTATATGCACATTTCCTCAGCCATGTGAAAGTTTTATGATTTTTCAACATTCCTGTGTGTCTGCTATGCTCAGTGCAGTGGGCTGCATCCTGTGTATGTCGGGTCGGATGGGGACTTACAAAGACTCAGATACACTCCCAGCTTCAAAGAGGCAAATCAAAAACAATTAAAATATCCTTCACATCTATTCCTTCTTTTTTCAGCATAGTACTTGATGCTCCCTGGTAGAGATCTTGAGGGGACTGGGGAAACACAGGGAAAGAGCTAAGCCCAGAGTGGTCAGCAAAGGTGAGGAGAATGCGGATAGGTCCAGCAGGTGAATGCGACTGGCTTTGTTATTTGCAGTCTAGAGCAGTGCGGGCTGTGGAGACTTCTGGTCTCAAAGACGGCAGCTGTTCCTGCCTAGCTGTATACTGTGGCCTAGGATGGAGGAAGGGGCATGGGAGCCTATGGGGAGAGAAGGCCAGCAGCCAGGCTGGAGAGAAGCAGGCTTCTTGGAGCAACCTGTCTTTAGGACGAGGTGGATCCCTGCCCCCCTTGCAGACCATGGAGTCCGAACTGGGCACGGCGCAGGGTGGGGGTGGGAGTCCTGGGTTCAGGTCTCAAGCTGGCTACTCAGAAGCAGATGACTGGGAGCAAGTCGCCTCCGCCCTCCCACCCCTTGGTGAAATGGCTATAAGACTTTTTGCGGTGCTCGTGTGGCCTGGATTAGGTGGTGATGTTCATGAGAGCACGTGGCTAACTGAGTGCTAGGTGCATGTGAGATGCTGAGGAGGAAGAAAAGGCTGGGTTTTGCCTCCTCTGGAGTTCCTCATGACAGGATTATGCTGATGGAGGGCACATCGGATTGACTCACACATAACTGACAGGAAAATGGGCATCGTTTTCACTTCACCCAGTTTCCAGGCTGGGAACTTAAACCTCCCAATGAGAATCAGCTAGCATTAGCAAGTTTTCCCGGTGGCGGTGGGTGGAGTGGGGGGCAGAAGGGGTGGGGAGCTGAACCAGGATAGTGAAGGGGATGCTTGTACCCAAAGATCCATGCCCGGAAATTAATGTCACGGAAGTGAAACCTGCTTCAGGTTCCCACCTGGTAAGGCAAACAGCTCTGCCCTGACTCACCATGTGCCCCGGGGCACATCCTTGCTTCTGTCCCAGACTCAATTTCTCCATCTGTAAAACAAGATACTACTTCCCAACAGCTTGAAAAGGCGTGGGGGTTCTTCGCACCCACGGGGAGATTTCTAAAGATTGGGTGAAAGAGGTGGGAAACGCCAGCCCATCTCTGTCCGGATCCCCAGATCCAGGGCTCTTAAACCAATAGTGGAATCCTTCTCTGGGCGGTGGAAGGAGAGAGCTAGAGGATTCCTGTCTGTCGGTGAGTGCGCTTGCGGGACAGAGGGCTTTTAAATGAATCACTTTGTATCTAGCAGGGCGGCACCTGCTCCTCAGCCTCCAAAGGCAGCAGAGCAACGCGATCATTCACAAGCTGCCGCTTTCCATTCACGTCTATAATTAGCGCGCAGGCTGCAGCCTCTCTGGAGCTGCGGGAAGGGCTTTGGGGAGGGGCCTATTCCCTAGCTCCTCCCCCTTCTTGTCCCCCTCCCGCGTTCTCCTCGCCGCCCCCCACCCTGGAGGCTCTGGCAGCCTCACCCCCACCCCACCCCAGAGTGCGCTCACCGCAGGATTCCTTCTGGTCTTGCCTGGACGCCAGGGCCTCTGTCCCCTCCCTTGGGGATCACTCCAGTGCAGTAATAAGCACCTTGGCCCTGCATCTCTAGGAGGGCAGCTATATTTAGAGTGGCATCCCCTTACCCCTCCCTCGCCCCTCTGGCCGCTCAGCCCGCCCGCTCCCGCTGCCCCTCCCAGCCACCTCTCCCTCTTTGTCGCATTACATAGTAATCTGAGATGCATTGGATGAGCTCCAGGGAACAGAATGTACTTGGCAGAGACGCGGGGCTTGATGTCTGCAAAATGTCGGAAACGCAGCCAAGAGCTGCTAACTGGGTCATTAACCTCCAAAAGCTAAGCGAGGACTGTAGGCCTGCTCTGCCTCCCTTCATCTCGCCAATAAAAGTGCCTCAGTGTGAGGGGAAGAAAAAGCCCAAAGTTGGCCGCTTTGATTTCTAGGCACCAAAGGCAGGCCCAGCCCCTCCTCCTGGCCCGGGCCCTTGGGCTGCCCCTGCTGCTTCTCTCCCTGTGTACATGCGGCCTTTGAAATGCCCAGCAACCCCCCTGCAGCCCTTCCCTACCTCACAGCTCCGGGCCGACTTTCTTGCGTCCGGGAGGAAAAAGGAGAATGAGAAGGTTCCAGGCCCATCTCGGTCCGCAACTAGATGAAAGGGTTTTGCCAATCTTCTACTCTGATTCTCTCCCTTCTAACTTCTTCCCTCCCTCCCTCCGCTCTGCCTTCTCTGCCTCCTTCCCCTCCTCTTTTGCCCCCTTGTCTCCCTTCTGAGAGCAGGCTGTGGGGTTGGGGCCTACACACACGGCCTGGCACGGGGAGAGGAGCTCTGTCGCTTGCTGTGTGACCTTGGATGAGTCACCCATTTGTCTGCTCCTTAATTCCCTTTTATGTCACTTGTTCATAGGAATAACACCTTCCTGACCTATCTCACAAAAAGTGGGGCCCACATTGGAAAGTCTCTTACCAACTGCCAAGCTCTGCTCCGTTTCAGAGATAACTCTCCCTGACTACCTTGACTCACATCCTTCTGAAAGCCCCAAGGCCCAAACTTCCTCTGGACTTGTGTGCGCTCCTGGACGTTAGGAATGTGAAGTAGTCTCACCAGGAACTTCAAAGGTTTGAACAGGTACCAGGGGATAGCCCCTAAAATCCACCCCCCTCAGGCTGTCTAGCCTCAGGATTGCCAAACAGACACTTCCCCCGAATGTCCAAACCCACTTCTCCAGCAGCTGGGTGGAGAGAGAAAGTGCTTGGTACTGAAACCAGAAGAGGTCCTGCAGTTCCTCAAATGATTCGACTGCCTTACTTGCTGGAGAGAGGACAGTTGGCCTGGGGAAACCAGCAGTAGCTTATGCGATGTGTCTGGACACCTGGGTAGTCTCAACTGATGTCAGAGACCATGCACGCTGATCTGTGCGACCCCACTTATGCTCCCTGGTGGCATCCACAAAACTAGAACCAAGTTCAACCTGGGCCTCCACGCCCTTCCCGCCTCATCCCTCCCTGGTCTCACTCCACCTCCCTCTGCAGCCACGTCAGATCTACCCTGCTCCTTACCACACCTCATAGAGGCCTGTGCCCCCCCGCCACTGGGCCTTGGCCCAGGCTTCTTTTTTTTAATTAGCTGGAAGGCTCTTTGGCCTCTCCTTGCCACACGTTCAAATCTTTTGCATCCCTCAAAACCAATTCTCAAATGCCGATTCTCATCTCTAGAGGTGTTTGTTCTCTTTCTCCTTCAACTCTTCTTGGGGCTCTTCCATATGTCTCAGTGTAAGCAGCTAGCTCTGGGTCATGTCATCGGTGTGCTTATTGTATCCTTCTTATGGAGGGGAGATTTCTCCGTGGATAAGGACCCTTTCTTGTTGACCTCAACTCTGAAGGTGTAGGTGCCCATATATCCTGCTCTGCCTTCCCAGTTTATGCCTATTTTGCTGGGATTATTATTAATAACTCCCTTTTCACCCTTAAGTGCTCCAGTTTGGATGATACATTGTATGGTCACCTTACTGAGGGTCTCTGTTCTAGTACCTGGCACATTAGTAGGACTCAGTAAATGGGGTGAGCTGCCATGAAGAGCATGTCAGAGTTATTTCTTACCCAGGTCCTGGGGGGCCTCTTGGTCCCCCCTTTTTTTCTCCAACCTGAAGGCATGCCCCCAGGTTTTTCCTTTCTCTTTCCTGGAGAAGAACTGCAGAAGCACCCAGTACCATTGTCTCTTTTGACATGCCTTCCATTTCCAAATGCTCCAACTTCCACGTGAAGTTGCTCACCCAACTCTTCCCATTCCTCTGAGCCCCTAAGCAGTAGGACCACCACCGGATGTTGGAAGTAGCTATCAAACTCCAGAGATGGTCAGCTGGTCTGTGGGACGAAGCCCTTACTTCTAACCTCAACTGGATTTTTGGTCTTGTCCAATTTCTTTGACAGTTCAACTCTTCAGAATTACCTTCAGATAGTAATGTAGTTGTCTTAGGAGGAGGTCACAACCTGGAAAGCTCCGAGCTGCTTTGTTATAAACTAAGTAGTTAGCCTTCATCACAATTTTTCTCAAAAATAAACCTGCTAGGGTGTTTGTTGACTTATTTTTTTAAAATATCAAACATTTGGAAATAAGAGCAGGCAAGATGCCTGGCCTTGTGAATGGAGCCCCAGTGTCAGGAAGCCTGGGTCTTCTTTCTACTTCTCCTCTGACTCACTGCTTTCTGGAGGATGAATCATATGCCCTTTCTTGGCATTGGGTCTCACTTCCTTCGTCTCCCCTATAAAATGGGTATATTTGCCCTTCCTACCACATAGGAGGGGGCTGAGGCTGGAAGAGGCCTTGGTCATTATGCAAAAATAATATTAAAAGTAAAAATGTGCTGAGATGCCTGGGTGGCTCAGTCAGTTGAGCGTCTGCCTTTGGCTCAGGTCATGATCTCAGGGTTCTGGGATCAAGTCCCACATTGGGCTCCCTGCTCAGCAGGGAGCCTGCTTCTCCCTCCGCCTGTTCTGCCACTCCCCCTGCTTGTGCTCTCTCTCTGACAAATAAATAAATAAAACCTTAAAAAAAAAAAAAGTAAAAATGTGCTGTAAGTATGTGTTTTGACTCTCTGGAGAGGCACACCTGAGGGGTATGTGAGGCCATTTTATGATTCTGCTTTAGTTTCTGGAACACCTCAATTCACAGAGAACAGCCTCTCAGAAACTGGAAAGAATCACTCTTAAGACAGTGGTTGGAATGAGTCTGGTCTGAGTGGGAGCAAGAGTCCTGTGAGGAGCACTGCAGCTAGCAATCAAGACAGGAAACAAATCGGAAGAAAGGGAGCCAGGATGAAAAAGCAAACAGGACTATTATCTGCAGGGCTCTGAGGCTGGGACACTTGCATTCTCTCCTGAGGGCCATGGGAGATCGATGGATGTGACTGAGCAGGACCATGGCATTATCTACACTGTGTTTTGGTGAGACACATCTATTAGATGGAGGGACAGACTGTGGAGCTGGCATCTGTTCCATCCCAGTTTGTCCCTAAGCAAGTGGGAGCTCCCCTCCCTCTGAGCTTCAGTTTCCATCTTTCTAAAATAAATGGGTAAAATGGCCCCGGAGAGCTCCAACATGCTGTGATTCTACAGTAAAGACCATGAAGAACCAGCTTGTCTGTGTGAGTGTGTGTGTGTGTGCACGTGTGTGTGGGGATGGGTGGAAGAAGTGGGAATGAAGTGACCACTCAGTAGATACACAACCAGGTCTGGCAGCCTCGTCCTTCAGGGAGGAAACCTGACCAGTCTCAGCCTTTCAGGCCTGAAAGACTCCCTGTGTATCCAGAGCCCGGAGACCTTTCTTCAGGCCCCAACACGGCACATCTGAACATTAGGTCCTGGTCAGCAGCCTCTGTCTAGACTTGTCTACTATCCACTTCCTGGTCCGGGTGAGACAGCTGATATCTGAGGAGACTGCACTGAGGTTCCTGCTAATCAGCTGTTCTTCAAGATGCTTCAGATCTCCCCCTATCCTGTATTAGGTTCCCAGGAAGCCTTATACCATCCAGGACGACATGGCTTGGGGCCTCAGAACTCTGCCTTGGCAGTACAACCTGACAGTATATGTTTGACATTTACCAAGGTCCACTGTAAGATTGGCATGTAGAAGTTTCTTTATTATGAAAGTGCTATTGGCATATTGTCTGTTAAATTATTTAATAGCTCTTATGTGAAGACCTATATAGAAAAGCCTTCAGTGAAGTCATATAGTAAAGAAAAATATCATTAAAAATTATTTTTGGTCTTTTGGGGTTGCAATAGTTCCTTTAGGTCTCAGGGATAATTGCGTTTATGTTCTTGTTTTGTGGGTGGGTTTAAAAGTACTCATGCTTTTTACTGTAATCTTTATTTTTTTCAAGTAAGGTTAGATAAACGAATGAATAAGAAGGGTTTAGTTGGACCTGTCAGTGTTTGAAGTGGAGAAATAAGCCCACTTATGATTAGTGAACCCACTGAAGCCCTCCTAATTATAGTTGAAGCAAAATGTCCAAATTTCATAGCATCCTTCAAACGATTGACTTAGTGTTTCTATGTTTGAGTTGCAGTTTTGTGTGAGAAGGTTTGACAGGATTGTGATTATCTGTAAGCAGTGCAAGGACCCGATGATAATTGGAAGAAGAAAATTTAAGTAGTCTTAGTGGAGTTATGGGATTAGCAAGGGTGGAGTTTATATGGTGGACGTTACAATTAGCCTATAAGGATACCATAATCCAGATTTATTCTACCAATTACTGTATTGCCTTGAAATGTGTGTCTCGGCATTTATTAAATGATAGAGAGTGTGGTTGAGCTCTGAGGTTGCTTCTAGTGTTCCTCTTTTATTTGCTGAAAAGTCAAGAGTCTGCACGGGTTGGCAGATCAAACGCCACAATCCACCTTAAAGCCCACAAACCAGCGAAGAAACTGATGCCCTCATACCACACTCCCACTGCTGGTGGTTGAAGGGCATAAATGAATGGGGGAGGGGTTGTGGCTGGAACTTTCGGATTCAAGCTGTTCTTCCTGACGAAGGACGTATGTGTTCACTGAATAATGACTAAACAGAGTTACCCTTAACCTTCCTTAAACAAATTCCCTAAAGAAAAGTTAAATTGTAAT